ATATATATATATATATATATATATATAATATGGTATTATACATATTACATTATAATAATATAGAAACAAGTCCTCTTTGATTCAAAATAGCACATGTCTATCACAATATCATCTGTGGTTAATCTCCGTCCAATCTTATCTTCTTCTTACATGTGGCTCCTTATGTTGCTATATTATACTATTGACTTAATTATTTGATGTAAGAGTGTTAAGTTGATTTTCACTTTTAATTTTTTTTAATTACATCCTAATTTTTGAAAAAGTATGCTAACCAATTTTTTTTTGACAAATTACTAACAGGTTTTTTATGTTTTTAATTTTTTTTCAAAATTTTGTAAATTTTGTTGTTGTTATGTGTTAAGGTTTTTATATGACTCATGATAATACGATGTAATAGATACTTCCATATATTAATATCAATGTTAAATATCAGTGTCATAATTTTAATTTAGTTTTTATATATCTTTCTTTGATTTAATATAATTTTAATTTTTTAAAAAATGAAATAATATTTTCTCTAAATTGAAATAAAAATTATTATTTATATAAATGTTACATTGATATTTTTATTAAAAATTATTGTATATTATTAATCTATGTTATTGATAATCATGACTTTAACCACAAAAGATTAATATAAATATTAGTATAATAAATAAAAAATATTAAAATAAATAAATAAACCACATAATGACATGTCAACGTGATCAGTAATTTAAAAAAAAAACTAATTAAAACACTTTTTGAAAGTTAAAATTAAAAATTTTTAAAAAACGAAAACCAATTTAACATATTACTATCAAAATAGAAAACATGGGCCTAGTTAATAATTAAGTATGTACAGTTCGAAATGACCAATGTTGAATTTCTGATTATTTTAGAATCCAGAAAATTCAAAATTGGGTCATCCTCAAATTTGAGGACAATGATGTGTGACCTTAAAAGGGGAATGATGAAGATCGAGAAGGACCACCACAGCACAACAACACAGCATACGAATACATCAACAAGTAAGCATGCATCTATGCTCACATCATATATATGTATTTACGCATGGCAGAGCCACAAAGTGCACATTCATAGATTTTGCTGCATCCCACATGTTCTGTCTCCTTTTCAAAAGGATAAGTATAGTGACGCAACACAAACTCATATTAGATAATAATCTCAATTAGTTATAATTAAAACATGTTAAAATCAATAATATGTTTATTAACTTAGGGTCCTTGTACTAAGTAATGATACACTTTGGTGTGTTGTGTTGTCTTAAAACTGTATTGGTGATTGCAAGTGGGTGATTCTGATTTGTGGTCTATGTACCACTATAGCTGCTTTTTGTTTCTTTTCCTATTCACTAAATAATGCCAAAACTCCTGTCATTTCTCTCTCTCTACAATATTATAAAAAAAATATTGGAATTAATGTTTAGGCTTATGATAAGTCACCTGGTTTATGTGTCTTAATAAGAGTGAAAGTAACTCTTTAATAAGGCTTTGGTCAAGATGATTCAGAAATTTATATATGGAACTAATTATTTTCTTATTAAAATTCTAATTGTATAAAAGTAAAGAATTATTATTATGTATAATCGATAAACTAAAATACTAATTTATATATGAGTGCTAATCGAAGTTCCTCTTTTATTTTCATGAGCTTTATCAGATCAGTGTTAATAAATCTATGAATTGCTTGCCCAAGAACCAATGTTTCGTACATTATCTACCAACCATATTAGTTGGTTTAAGAAGCCGGAGTGTGAAACCTGTGTAAAAAGTTGACGATGTTGGCATAGGTTGTTGCTTTTTTTGTTAGTTTGGTAATAAATTGAGCTATCATGGTACATAACAAGTGGATTGTTTTTTCTTGCATCCGATTTGGTTTTTCATGCAACCTCGTATTTAGAGAAAAGGTAAATCTCTGCTATAAATTTTGGAACAGTTAATTTAAAACATATGCTTTTTATTCCAATTTTTATTCTGAAAAAGATAATCTGGAACCGATGATAGATTTACTAACATCTGTAGTTTTATTGCAACAGTCAACAGAGTATAGAGGGATATGGGTTTTTGTGAATTTCGAACCCGATTATCAACATGATCAGCACCTTTAATTAATGAGAAAATCATCCAAGAAAAATGAAATTACAAATTCCCAAAAGCTCACGGTAAACTCCATGAGCCACACAGTATTGACTATACTTATCAAACTCTCGAATTAACTCGTAAATTTACGTTCTCAGATCTGGCTTTCGAGTTAACTCGGAAGTAAACTTGTTTTTTACATAATCGATAAGATCGTATAGAATCGCGAGTTTGGAGCAGTTATATATTTAATGAAATACATCAAAATTAATGACAATAATCCAAGTATTTATGTTTTACAATATTTATTTTTGTGAATAATATAACTATAAATTTTATTTATTTAAAGTTATATAATTTTGTAGACTTATTTAAATTAAGATATTATTTATATAATTTTTTTATGTGAAATAAACTCGAGTTAAATTTAGGAGTCGAGTTTACTCTTACGAGTTTAAGTAAATTCTCAAATTTAATAACCTTGAAATGGACTACCAATATCACTAAGTCTTTGATATATAAAGGACAATGAAAAGTCAAGAAATAAAGCAACTCCAATATAATAAATAACACAACATATTTTGAAGGAATCAAAGTATACGCGGTTTAACAAAATCTGACAACCCAAAGTCTATGGCCTTCATGTTTAACTCAGACATGTGTCACAGTTTAAAAGCAAGATGTTACTTCAAGACATTTAGAAAGGAAGATAAGATGATATGACCATAATTCTCTTTGCAGGCCTTAGAAATGAAATTATATCAGATTTATAGCATCAAGCGGATAGACATAACAAGGATGAACTCTGCTATCTACTTCAATCTTGATATAATTTTAATATATAATTTAAGTTAATGAAATGAATAACTCTATGTACAAGTCACAAAAATAATTTATTCTATGCCTAACGATCTATCTTTCAATCTTAGATGTAATACAGATATTCATACATTATAAGAAAGAAAAAATGGTTTACATCATCAAAATCAGTTAAGGTCTTCAGCTCCGCATTGTGCTTAAGCCTTTCTACATATAAGTTTGAGTCGAGGAAATCGCCAATATTAGATATGTAAGAAATAATGAACGCTTCTCTCTTCTTAAACCAGCCAAATAAGTATTGTTTTGAGCATTCTAGTAACAGGAGATTTCTTTCCAGGCCTTTCCCAAAAGCAACTTGGGGTCTTTCTTTGAATCACAACTTCCGACCGGATGAAGTGTTGTCTCAGAAGCAGAAGATTCTGAACTATTTTGCCTCAAAAGTGAAGGTAACAACACTTCCATGGAATCTTGTAATAGCTTCCTTTGAAGGAACGTTCAGTTGAAGAAGTATGGAGACTCGAGAACCTTCCCCAAGTCAAAATCACCTCTCTTTGGCACAGGAGGGAAGGCTAATCCCGGGTATGATGTCTCAAAACCTTCCAACAACTGTTAACAGATAAAATAATGAGGTTTTCATTCTCCCTCTGTTGGTTTAAAAGGAAAAGGATTTGCATTAAGTAGGATGGTGCTATTATCGTGATGTTTAATATTTGATGCTGAGAAAGTAAGAAATAACTCTTCTCCATGTATTCCGATTACATAAGCCAGTGTTTCTCATAATACAGAAAAACCTTACATTTTCAAGTATTGGCATGTTATAAAGCTCCACAAACTTTTCTCTAAGAATGTGACTCATTTTCTCCACGTCACATGCATGTGTCCAAAACGAGTCATGAACCCCTGCACACACATTTATTTCACAAAATTTAAGCACCAAAATATAAAAAAGTATTTTTCTTTAATTAATTTACTTTTCCACCAAAATTTCTCCAGCATGTAGTATATAAAGTGAAAGTTGGACGTAAATATATATACTGAACCAGATAACTAGATTACGGATTTAACTACAGTGGTTACTAGCATAAATGTGCCTTGAGAATTAGCATCATAGCCTCACTTGAATTTGAATGTAATAAAAAATTGGCGAATTATTTCTCAGCTGTATACACACACACACGTATGTGTGTATGAAAAAGGGAAGAATACATTACAAGCACAAGTTGTACAATACAATAAAAATAATAATTTTAATACTCCCTCTAGCAAATAAATTGTATGAGCCAGCTTGGAACATATAAACTAAATTCTAGATTCTCTCAAGGGGTGAGAATATCTGCAAGCTGATCATTAGAGTTGATAAATCCATTACGGAGTTCTTTGGACAATATCTTCTCTCTAGTAAAATGACAATCAATCTCAGTATATAATGTCCCATCATGAAACAAAAGATTGGAAGCAATATGGAAGACTACTTGATTATCACAATACAACTTCATTTGCTCAACTTCACAAAATTTCAACTCTTAAAAGGAGTTGATTAATCCATACAAATTCACAAGTGGCCAAAGTCATAGCTCTATACTCAACTTTTGCATTGGGTTGGGAAAAAATATTATGTTTCTTGCTCTTCCGGGAGACAATATTTCCTCCAATGAATACATCATATCATGTGATAGATCTCGTGAAAATATAACAGCTGACCCAATTTGCATCACAATAGCATATAATTTGAGTATTTCCTTTGTCCTCATACAATAATCCTCGTCCTAGAAAATTTTTGGAATATTAGAATGCAAATTACAACATTCCAATGATTAATGTGAGAGTCTTACATGAATTGGCTAACAAATCCAATTATTGCATAAGAAATAGCAAATCTTGTAATGCTAAGATAAATGGTTTTTCCTACCAGCCTTTTATATCCTTCTGGATCTGAAACAGTTTCACCTTGATCCACCATTAACTTGTGATTTGGATCCGTATATCAATAGGCTTGCAATTTGCCAACCCTATCTCCTCTAGAGTGTCAGAAGAATTTTTTTTCTTTTTTGTTGAAATAAAAACACCTTTCTTCTTATTGAACCAATTCAATACCCAAAAAGTATTTTAAATAACCACGACCTTTGGTCTGCAAATGGTTGAATAAGTATATCATCAACATAGACCATTAGATTCACACATCCTAAGAGAAGTATTCCAATAAAAAACTGAATGATCTATCTCACTTTGTTTCAATCCAAAAGCTTGCATAGAATGACCTATATTACCAAATCAAGCTTGGGGAGATTGTTTCAGGTTATAAAGAGAGTGGTGTAAGTTACACACAAACAAACTCTCCCTGGCAACAAATCCAAGAGGGTGGTCCATGTTGATTCCTCCTCAAGATCATAATAAAAAATGAACTTTAATGTTAGGTTGAAGTGGTGATTAATAACCATAGCAAGGAAAAATCTAATTGTGCTAATCTAGGCCACAAGAGAAGAAGTAGCACAGTAGTAAAATTATATATCTTTTGGCCATCAACCAAACTTTAAGGCAATCAACTTCACCACTAGGCCAAACTCTAACAATAAAGACGCCTCTACAACTAAATGCCTTCTTTACAAAGAGAAGAGGAACAAGCTCCCACATGTCTTTGCTTCAAGAACCAACCTTTCATCAATGATGGCTTGTCACTTTCAAGGATGGTTCAGTGTCTCATGAATGGTTTTAGGAAAAAATATTGACATATGAAGAAGAAACAAAAGAAGAATAGATGGAGGCAAATAATGATAACTCAAAAAATTCTAAATAGAATATGTATTACAAGTAGACCAAATATCTATTCTAAGAGCAATAGGTTACTTTGAAGTGGTGTTATGTGAAAGAGTTGATCACGAAGGATCCATCATATGAAACTATTGGAGTAAGATTTGAATAATGAGAGACTTTAGGAAGAGTGGGAGAAGTTTTTTCTGTCTTGCGTGGGAATGTAAGGAGAGATGGAAGAGAAATGCCAGATTGGTTTTCATTCGGGTGGAGTTAGAAGAAACTAAGTCATCGAAGGACCAAAGGTTGGAATAGTGATATCATGTTGAATGTAAGCAAGAACTTCTATGACGACAAAAAGGCATGTCATAATAAATAAAGGTGACATAAGTTTGCATATAGTACCTTTTGATAGTTGGAAAATAACTTTTGTATCTTCTTTGAAGGTAGGAATATTCCAAAAAAAAACATTTAATATCCTTTGCAAAGTTTGTCTAAACCTGGAGACATGAAGTTGATAAGACTTTCAAGGTGTATGTTAGGAAAAGGATTCAAAATTAGAAGTCACGAAACAGTCAACAGTGGTTGGACAGTTCATTGGTGGTTAGAGGAAGTTACAAAGTCTAATAGGGGTTAGGGGTTATCTTTTAAGGGAGGAAACAATCCCTTGTTTTGGGTGTGGAGTAGTTTATTCAGAAACAGGTCTTAACCTATGTAGAAGGGAAAATTTGATCACATACATGATCAAAATCTGAGTTCAGATTTCTCAGAATTAGGACCGTATATAATTTATCAAGTTTTTTGTTGATATCCTCCAAAAATCAGCCTCAAGAAATCTTTTTAATTATTGTATCCTAAGTCTTTGCTATACGTGACATTGTGTATTGATTGGTCCATGTGAGAGAGGCTACTCTTTGACTCGCATGAAAGAAACATTGAATGTTGTTGGAAGTCCCACGTCGACTTGAGATAAGACAAATTTAGAATATATAAGTAGGTGCAAACCTTATCTTAAAAGTCAGTTTTGTAGGGTTGAGTTAGGCTTAAAGTCAACTTCTTAACATGGTATCAGAGTCATGGGTTAGAGCCTATTCTAACGAGATTGTTCCACCCACTATTGGACCACCCATTAATGTCTAGTCACATGAAAGAAACATTGAATGTTGTTGGAAGTCCCACGTCGACTTGAGATAAGACAAATTTAGAGTATATAAGTAGGTGTAAACCTTATCTTAAAAGTCAGTTTTGTAGGGTTGAGTTAGGCTTAAAGTCAACTTCTTAACATGGGATCAGAGTCATGGGTTAGAGCCTATTCTAGCGAGATTGTCCCACACGCTATCAGACCACCAATTCATGTCTAGTCTCACGCACAAGATGTATATACCTTGACATGAGGAGATTGTGTTGGAAGTCTCACATCAACTAGAGATAAGGTCAATTTAAAGTATATAAGTGGGTGCAAACCTCACCTTAAAATTCAGTTTTGTGGGATTGAGTTAGGCTTAAAGTCCACTTCTTAAAAAATGTCATTAACAAAAATATATTGTGCCTTCTTTTAAAAAGAACATGTCTTAAGGGATCTGAGTATTTATGAGACATCTTGCTAAAATGATTGACATAAAACATGATAGGATATAATAAGATAGGTTTTAATGGGTAACAGGGGTAGAACAGAGAAAACAATTTTAGGAATTAATTGTTGTTGGGTAGTTAGAAGTGGGTTGCCTTTATAAGAAGGCAAGGGGGGTCTGGTAGAGGGCAGTTTTTGGATTTGTGAATTGTTAGACTGGAANAAAGGAGTTGATTAATCCATACAAATTCACAAGTGGCCAAAGTCATAGCTCTATACTCAACTTTTGCATTGGGTTGGGAAAAAATATTATGTTTCTTGCTCTTCCGGGAGACAATATTTCCTCCAATGAATACATCATATCATGTGATAGATCTCGTGAAAATATAACAGCTGACCCAATTTGCATCACAATAGCATATAATTTGAGTATTTCCTTTGTCCTCATACAATAATCCTCGTCCTAGAAAATTTTTGGAATATTAGAATGCAAATTACAACATTCCAATGATTAATGTGAGAGTCTTACATGAATTGGCTAACAAATCCAATTATTGCATAAGAAATAGCAAATCTTGTAATGCTAAGATAAATGGTTTTTCCTACCAGCCTTTTATATCCTTCTGGATCTGAAACAGTTTCACCTTGATCCACCATTAACTTGTGATTTGGATCCGTATATCAATAGGCTTGCAATTTGCCAACCCTATCTCCTCTAGAGTGTCAGAAGAATTTTTTTTCTTTTTTGTTGAAATAAAAACACCTTTCTTCTTATTGAACCAATTCAATACCCAAAAAGTATTTTAAATAACCACGACCTTTGGTCTGCAAATGGTTGAATAAGTATATCATCAACATAGACCATTAGATTCACACATCCTAAGAGAAGTATTCCAATAAAAAACTGAATGATCTATCTCACTTTGTTTCAATCCAAAAGCTTGCATAGAATGACCTATATTACCAAATCAAGCTTGGGGAGATTGTTTCAGGTTATAAAGAGAGTGGTGTAAGTTACACACAAACAAACTCTCCCTGGCAACAAATCCAAGAGGGTGGTCCATGTTGATTCCTCCTCAAGATCATAATAAAAAATGAACTTTAATGTTAGGTTGAAGTGGTGATTAATAACCATAGCAAGGAAAAATCTAATTGTGCTAATCTAGGCCACAAGAGAAGAAGTAGCACAGTAGTAAAATTATATATCTTTTGGCCATCAACCAAACTTTAAGGCAATCAACTTCACCACTAGGCCAAACTCTAACAATAAAGACGCCTCTACAACTAAATGCCTTCTTTACAAAGAGAAGAGGAACAAGCTCCCACATGTCTTTGCTTCAAGAACCAACCTTTCATCAATGATGGCTTGTCACTTTCAAGGATGGTTCAGTGTCTCATGAATGGTTTTAGGAAAAAATATTGACATATGAAGAAGAAACAAAAGAAGAATAGATGGAGGCAAATAATGATAACTCAAAAAATTCTAAATAGAATATGTATTACAAGTAGACCAAATATCTATTCTAAGAGCAATAGGTTACTTTGAAGTGGTATTATGTGAAAGAGTTGATCACGAAGGATCCATCATATGAAACTATTGGAGTAAGATTTGAATAATGAGAGACTTTAGGAAGAGTAGGAGAAGTTTTTTCTGTCTTGCGTGGGAATGTAAGGAGAGATGGAAGAGAAATGCCAGATTGGTTTTCATTCGGGTGGAGTTAGAAGAAACTAAGTCATCGAAGGACCAAAGGTTGGAATAGTGATATCATGTTGAATGTAAGCAAGAACTTCTATGACGACAAAAAGGCATGTCATAATAAATAAAGGTGACATAAGTTTGCATATAGTACCTTTTGATAGTTGGAAAATAACTTTTGTATCTTCTTTGAAGGTAGGAATATTCCAAAAAAAAACATTTAATATCCTTTGCAAAGTTTGTCTAAACCTGGAGACATGAAGTTGATAAGACTTTCAAGGTGTATGTT